TTGCCTGTTTTTTCTGTTTTCTCTACTTTTTTAGGTGCCATTTTTATTTTTTTTTTTAAAAAAAAATTTTTTCAAAAAAAATTTAGATCTTCAAATATTTTTATTTGGGTGTGTGTAACACGATCGTCACATATAGATTACGTGAATCAGACAGAGCTTTTTTTTAGAAAAAAGGTCAACTTTATTCTTATATAACATAATCGTTAAATAAACATGGTGTCAAGAGTAGAGCTGCCCAAAGGAGGATTTAGCTTTGAAAATTATCAAAGGTTAATGTTTTGAATTTTATTCAAATAATGTTTGATTTTAAGGAAGGGCCAACTAAAAAATTCATACATGTAAAATAAAATAAAATCCATTCATTTTATATAAAGAAATCTTGCTTTAGAAAAAAAAGGTCTCACTTTGCCCAAACCATTAAAAACTGGTACTACAATTGCTGGCTTGATTTTCAAGGTATTCATTGATTCTCTCAACTAGTTAAAAGACAACTTATAAACAAATTAATTTATTTTTAAAAAATCAAAAATTAATACATTTTAATAAAACTATTAAATGATTTAATGTATCTAAATGCATTAATTTTTTTCATTATTTATCTCAGAGGTTGTTTTTGCTGGAGGAGACAGTCCCATTGTCTCTACCATAACTACCCTCATAAATATATCTGTAATATTTGTATTCTACCTTTGTATACATTTGAAAGAGAATGATAACAATAAACAAGAAAATCATCAATGTTATGGCTTAGAAGAAAGTCCAATTAAGTGATTAAAGTGAAAAAATTTGCTTTTGTAGTTCTATTATTTAAAATCATTTGATATTTTTAATTACAATATACATCTAATGAATTAAGATATTGAATATAATTGTATTATTGGAAATATGGTTTTTACTGCATAAGCTGATTGTTTTTGCATTTGCCAAATATTTTGTCAATGTTTGGATTCTCAAATTAATGAACATAAAACAATCATGATTAAAGTTAAATAATTTCAGATATAATTTTGGCTATTATGAAAAACTATTCCAGAATTTGGATTTGGCAATGATCATTTATTATAGAATCCAAAGAAAGAATTAATAGTTAATATCACATTTAACAGATTTACAATATTAGGAGGACTAAAAAATTAACAACAATAAGATAGATGATATTGCTATGTCCTTCAACATTTTATAATGACATACCAGAATCACAGTTTCTGTATATATTTATTCAGTGCAATCTTTATTGCTTCACAAACATCATTGCTTACAAAAACAAAATTATCCATAATTATTGTTGTTTTCATCAACATTCTTTTGTTGAAGATTAATCTCTTTCCCTAAAATTTACAGCAAAACTACTTTTTTAAATAGCCAAATGATGTAACTTTCTAATGCCATTTGAAGTACTTCCTTAGAATCATTCATGACAATAAGCTTTAATGAAATGGGACATACTGCAACAAAACTAGGCAAGGTGAACATTTGTTCCTACTTATACATATAGGATTATTCCTCCTATAGCAATTTGAAGTCCTTGGAGTGTGACGCTGTGACATCAGCTGACACTGGAAATCCAAATTATGAGTTATGTGATACTTGTCAACATTCATAATGGTTCACATTGCAATACTCATCAGGAGGAAGAAGCCAAAGGATTACTTATACCACATTCTGATCAACAGATAAGTAAAATTTATTATCTTAGTTTGCATAAAATCCATTTATTTGGTACTCAAGATTAAACGGTAAGGGAACAAAATTAAAACTCAGAAGGTTGCTAATGGACCTTTTGCTGGATTCAATTTATTAAAAACTAGGAAAACAGATTATAAAAGAGATTAAAACTCTACTTATTTTAGTGTTAACACCTCCTCCTTTTGATTACAAGTAGCAAGAATAATAATATTCATCCATTTGTTAAAGATGAATGCAATGACAAAACCAGTACAAAAATATTTGACAATTAATTCAAGTTGGCTTCAAAATATTTCTCTTCTACTTTTTGTTTTTGTGCTTATACTCTTTTATTGGTTGTGATTTTTGTAAATTTCATAGGTGATCCTTTCTTTTGAGTATCATTTATTTTGAAAACATAAGATGCAACAGTAACCAACAAGGATTGGCAATATCAGAAGTTAAGGGATGAAAGAGACAAAAAAATAAAAGATTTAGAGAATGATTATAGTAATGAACAAAAAGCAAAAGAAAAGAGCAAGCAAATAATCAGCAACTAGAAAATGATATAGCTCAATTAAAACTGCAACTGAAATATTTAAATGAAGTCAAAGAAAATAAATTTGGACAGCAAAACTATTCAGGAACTTCAAAAGCAAAAATCTGAATTAATTGAACATGAGAAGATTATTCAAGAGTCAATTGGTAAAAAAAAAATAAAATGGTAGTCCAAACTCAAAAATTAGGATTAATTATTCTCTATGTAAGTTATTGAATAATTAGAAAGTTATGAGGAAGAAAATATTGGTAGTATTCTTTTTAGTACAAACGTTCACTTTGTTGCATGAAATTGAAAACTTAAAAGAATCATTGAATTAGCTGAAATAGCACTTAATGAAGAGCAAAGAAAGAGAAAATCCAAAATAAAACCAACAAATCAAAAAGCAAGAATAGCCAGCAAAAAGATGAGGGTCAAACACAAGATAAGCAAAGAAACAAAGCCATAAGCAATTTCAAATATTAATATCAAATAAGAGTCTGCAAGATCAGCAGAACAAGCAATTAAATTGAATCAAACAAATTGAATCAAGCCTGATAAGACCAAAGCAAAGGCGAAAGAAGGATAAGCTGAGCATCATCCTATACTTTTGGATTGACTACCCCAAGGATATTGGATAATTATATATTTACCCATAGCCAAATTCAAGGCAAAAGCCAAAAAAAAGATCTGCATTTCAAAACTTTAATGGGAAACATCTCAAATTTTTATTAAGCAAAATGGATATAGTTTCTAAGCTAAATTAATCTTTGTAATTGTATATAAGGGATATTGTTAACTCAAAAAATCGACCCCAGGCGATGTTTGCCTCATGTGTGAAAATTCAAACAAGTCAATTGGCCAAATATCCCAAAATTTTAATTATAAAATTTACATTTGACACGTATTTTGTTTGACACGGATTTTTTTATATTAATATGGACGCATAAAAAAAGGGAATCTGTCCAATGGAGAGATGATGTAATAAGATGGGATATAAACAAGAGGGATATGATTCTGTACCCTGAAACTCTTCGTGACATAATATGCATTAGGGCGCAAAATGTGATCACAAACTTCAGAAAATGATAGTAATGGTAATAATAGTAATAAATAATAAAGATCGTCAAAAATTTCCGAAAATTCTTTACAATTATTAATTAGTTGTAATAATAATAGGAATGATTTTGCGCCTCATATGCACATATAGTGTTGACAATTGGAAACGGACATTCCACTATATCTTTTTTTGGTAAATTTAGGCATGTGATTGGCTGTGTCGATGTACAAGGTACCGTTTTTGGATATTTAAATGTCTATTGTCAGCACGAAGCTCAAAAAAATTTAATATCTTAAAAAACAAGAATTCTTTTATAATAACTACTTTACATACATACATACAATTGAAATGTGGCATAAAAATATATTTCTTATTATATTTCTTTTAAAGAAATAAATCAACCAAATATGTGACGATCTTTGATAATTACATGATTACTAAATCTTTACCATTCCGTGCCATCTTCTGCATTCATTACAATCTTTATGTATTCCTGCCGATTCTCGATAGAAAGGGAACATTTATATCTAAACTTTTGATATCGCGGTTTCTGACTGGAACATCTCTTGGATTATAAAAACAAAATTTCTGTAAGGCGACGATAACATGAGATTCATTAAACTCATACTTTGCCGTCAATGGTTGGCCCTGCGCAAGGCGCTTCGGCAGAGTTACACTCACTAGAATATCAATGAAAAAAAATATGGAAAGTGTTGGCTGGCTAAAAAGAACAGATAGATTTTCAAATTGAAACATTAAAAGATTTAGAAAGATCCAAAATACATTGTAATTAGCAGTTAAATTACTTTTTAAAAAATATCTGCGAGTTGAAATTTTATTTCTAAATTAATTAGTTTAAAATAAAAAATTTGGATGTTCAGGGACATACCGCAAATATGTTAGTGAAGGAGCAATAGTAAGCTTGATTTATTTGAATAAACTTCATGTGCATCAAAATTGTTTGTGATTAAATCACATTTGGGGCGTGGACAGCAAATAAGAACATGTCAAGATTTTATCCACGACCGGTCACTGAATTTTGAACCCTACAGTTAACTTGTATTGATATTGGCAGTTTATTATTATTATAATGATATTTGAATTGTTATCTATTTTCTTGAACTTCATTTAAATTTTCCTATTCAATTAATAAAAATATAAAAGGAAGACAAAGATAACGACAATCGTTGTTTATTATTATTATTATTATTATTATTATTATTATTATTATTATTATTATCATCATCAAAGACCCGATTTTCTTTGACCTAACCAGATTATAAAAGAACCATTAATTATCATCATCATCGTTCATCATTATCATTTATATTTATATTTAACAAGAATAATTTGTGTAAAAAAATTTTTTTAGTTTATTATTTGTAACACAATAATAGATATAATAGATATATAGATATAAATGACAAGTCATATTTGTTTGTTTGTTAATATAAAAAGCTCGCGGATTAGGAAAAAAATTAATTGATTTCACGAACAAAGTTGGAAAATTTCTATAAATAAATATAGTAACAATACTAACCATGCAATAATAGCCTTAACTCTTTTAATTTTAAATATATGTAACAAAAAAAATTTTTCATGTGACCAAATTACTACATATATCAGATATAATTCCGTGTAACAAACCGTTAACAAAACTGTGCTATTAACAGTTGTGGGACATGTCACAGAGAGTGTAATTTCATGTGTGAAATTAATTTCAAATCCGTGCAACAAATCGGGTTTTAAAAATATCTCGACTTTTTAATAATAAACTTGAACTTCACTATTAAGATAAAAAGAAACTACACCATTTAAGCTTTCTAACCATATATTTTTATATCTGAGAACGCCCCCTATATAAAGCCATGGCTATTTAAAAGTAGTGGTGTTTTTTCACTTCAAAGTTGTGATTATCTACCAATATTGCTTTAAAAGACTTGATAGTAACAGACAAGGTGTAGAATACTTTAAGCTTTCATATGGTTATTACTTTATGGAGGGTATTGGTTAATAAGTTTTGGAGCGGCTCCCACGCGCTGAAATTTCAAAAAATTGTTTTCCCAATTTTTTTCAAAAACGCGGGTTTTTTTGTAAAAATCACATGATCAGTTTAAATTTTTTTTAAAAAACCAATCAAACTAAATTTCCAAACTTAAAAAACTGTAAAATGCCTTACCCATCCAAGCACAAAAGTCAATTAAAGGATGCGAGAACACAAATTGGAAAAAAGAGTATGTTCTAGAATTAAATTACATAAATATCTTGTAAATAAAATTTTAATATCATTTATGTTATTGAAAGGTGATGATGAATTATTGTTCAATGATGTTATTGTAGCTTCTGATGCTTTGTTAGTAAATAGAATGAATTTGAACCCAGGTGGTATACAGCCTAAAATGAGAACAATAACAATGAGAGATGGCACCATTCAGGAATGGTGTTTGAAGATGGCACTCCTAAAGGTATGAGAGTAGTTTTAGAAGAAAGAAATTTGTGGAAAGAAGGATTAAAAAGATTTGCCATGATTGTAAAAATAATATTAATGTTCAACAAAGAAATGATTGTTATGCATCAAAGATACTTTATTTGGAGCATGATTTTGCTTCCCAAAAATCTCTACTTACTGAAATAATTGAGAATGCTGGTCACAAGGTAATTTTTTATCCAAAATTTCATTGTGAATTGAATTTTATTGAAATGTTTTGGGGAGCAGCCAAACAATACACCAGACAAAACTGTAACTACTCATTCAAAGGTCTTAAGAAAACAATATCAGAAGCATTGGAATCTGTTCTTTTATTGAAAATAAGAAAATTTGCTAGAAAAACACAAATATATATGTGCTTATAGAATAGGTTTAACAGGCAAACAAGCTTTGTTTGTTGTAAAAAAGTATAAACCTCATAGATGTGTGCCTGTTTCAGTTACAGATGAATTGGATATCATGAACATTTAATAAATTTTACATGTCACGTGATTTGTCTTCAATTTTGCCAAGAATTACCTAAAATGGAAAGTGCTCAAATTTCATGAACATACGTAACAGAGGAACGGGACCACCCTGGTTTGTGCAAAAGTGCGAGGAACGGCACCTCATACTCAGCGACCTTATAGGGGACGGCATCCTTAAGGAAACTCTCTTGCATGAGTGGAGGAACGGCACCCACCTGAGCTGCACATGTACTATAAATAAAAAATAAAAATTTATGTTATACTTGATTTACAAGTAATGTTGCAATCTGCCGAACTGTCTCGTCTGTTTCTGCATTATTAATTATGAATTTAAGTGCATTACAAATCTTTTATGCCATATTGAGAATAGTTCATTTGTACTTTTATTTTCTTTCATGATGAATAGCCTCATTGTCCTTGAAAAATCATCAAATGACCATTTTGCAGGTGTGGTATTTTGGAAGTATTCTGAAATGGAAATATCTAAAAAAAGTTGCAAACATTGTTATTATAAATAAACTATCTACAAAAAATTAATCTTCCAAAAAATGTACATGAAACACGTAAACTTTTTTTAATTACAAAGACAACGCTTACCAATTACATCCATAAAAGTAAGATTATTACCAGTGTTATTCGAATCCAAGTCAAAATTTGATGTTTTGTCTGTCATTTTTTGAAGGGAAATGAAATATTAGATGTTATTGAATCAGTCATTGTGTAAACATTATTATTAGTAACGCGTCTGACACATTTTTTATTCGTCAAAGGTTGGGTTACACGATCAAAGATCTGCGTCATTTCAATACGGTGCAGATCATCTATAATCATTAATTGCTTATAGTAGCAATTGGTCAACTTCAAAATACTAAAACAAAAAAAATTTATATCATTTTAAAAAATTTAACCGATAAGTTTTATTGTTCATGACTCAAGCTTCAAAACTTATCGGCTGGTTTTT